CCCAGCTACATTCACTTTAATTATAACCATTTTATCCTTTCAAGGGATATCGTATTTATAATAGAGATAGTAAACCTTCAAGTTTGATTACGATGACAATTTTAATTGAATTTGCAAATTTCTACCAACATTTTGAATTCGAAAACTTGAATTTGTGTCATTACTATATTTACTTAAGTTTAAAAATAATATTTTGCAGCTTGAAGCTTATATTTTCAGAAAGATTATTTATCAGAGCCATCTTGTTAAGTTTACTGATAACTATATTTGTTCTGAAATACAATTATCTTGGGGTTACTTTCAAATATTTGGGGGAAAATTGTTAATTCATAAAACTAGTACTGATGGTAATGCTTGCACAAGATCTTGAATAGAATACAGTTAAACTATAGCTTAAACTGCTACACTTGACTTTTTGTTGGAAAAAATTTCTAATTATGAATTAGTGATATATGGAATGCAAATTGATGAGCTACTTGTAATACTTTCTGTATAAATATATTTATGCAGTTTCATTCTAATAGTTCTGTTGTTGATTTTTATAATCTACTATACCAGTAAATAAGGCCCCAATGTTTGAAGTGCATTTTATTGCTTGATATATATAAATTTGATGTAACAGTAGATATTACATTAATATCTACTTTTTAGTCGGCACCCTCTGCATTCATTTAATGTCTTAATAATTATGAGAACCTTTCATATTGCATATGTATTTAGTAATAACAAATATAAATGACATCAAAAATAAATTATCTACTTGGATAATAAGAATGCAACCATAATTTTTACCATTAGTTGTAAAGACCATGCTGTTTTAAAACTTAGTAATAGTTATTGAGTGTTGGCTTGTGTTTAACATTCTTTATTAATTTACAGCAGTATTGGCTTATTAGTTGTATTAGCTTTCTTTGAGTTTTTGAGATGTCATATAGGTTTCTCTGTTACCTTTGTAATATTTGACTTAATAGGAGAGAGTGTTGATATTTTTACAACTAAAAAATCTTGACAGTAAGAATTATTTATTGAGGCTCTTTTATAACTGTACAATTAGGGATTATATGTTCTTTAACGTTAGTGTCCTAAGTTAATTTGATGATATCATCATTTAAAAGATTGCTCAAATGAACTGAAGTTGAAATACTTTTTACTCAAATATTACTAATCATACATTTATTGCCATATCAAAAATTTTTTTGGGCACTTTAATGGTGATTAAGATTATATCTTGTGAAGTGCGTTAGCTAGACACAGCATACATTGGTGGCTAAATTTTAAATTGCAAACTCTAGCAACTTATATCTGTATACATATTAATTAAAAGCAAAGGATAATGTGGTAGTTTTTTTTTAACACATAGAAAATCGATAGGAGTAAATACGAATAAAAAATTCATAAAATGTATTAATCTGAGTTTATCTATTCCAGCAAAATTACTTCTACCTATCCAGATTGATCAAAAGACATTCTAAAACATAATAAATTTTAGTTGTGTTGAACCTTTTGTCCATAACACTCACTTATTACTTTACTCATCAATTTAGAAATGGCATAAATAACCCTTCTATTCAGATATTACATATGATAATCAAGTATTCAAGCTCTGGAGCTATAATAAGCACATTCTCTCCAAAGCTTTATCACATACTGAAAATACTATTGAGCGTATTTTAATTATCTTTATGTTGGGCAAAGCTGTAAAATTTAATTATATCACTTTTGAAGTGCCGCAGAAGTACATATTTAACAATTAAAATGTAATTGATTAGTTAATAACCGGGACTTAGTTTGAAAACTACAATATTGCTAGAGGAAAAAAATTTACTGCTCGATTTATAGATATCCTAATTCAACCACTCAAAGCTATCAATACACACACTCTTTTTTCAAATCATATGCCAGCTCTATTAGCTACTATTATAAATCACAAAAGCATAAACGCTTCTTTTTACAACCGCTAATTGTTTCCAGAAAATCTCATTAATACTCGTATTTGATACAAGATATTTGTTAGGCAACTGCAGAGTCTGGCTTGTATGAATAAATTCTAAATTCAACTTCTGATACCTTTACTGACTTTTATATGTTTACCCAATAATATGAGTAACATTGTTAAGACATTGCAAAATATGACTCATACAAAGATTGTTTTTGATTCTACTAAGCAACTTAGTTTTTTTATTGCCTTCCTCATTAATTTTCGAAAAGGGGTCTAACAAGACTAATTGCTTTGGACAAATTGAGTAAGCATATGAATTAACTCCAGAAAAAGAAGAATTAAATGTCATTACTGATAACAACGGAACTGACCTCTAATTATGCTATCCAGAACTCTTCTTACAATAGGAATTACAAGTAGTATAAGTGCAAAGAGGCATTTAACTGTGTTAAAAAGTTAATACATTAGGAAAAAAATGGCTATGGTGACAATGCACTCTGTGCAGTCGAACAGAAACATTAGCATGCAATTGTCACAACACAAATGTATTTAAAAAAGCTTGACACAGCTAATTTGTTAGTTATATAAATTTTTGGATCACTCTTTGAAGCAGAAACAAGACGAATTTCAATTTTGTTAGCCTTTGTAAATAGTTTACATATTTTGCAGGAATCGCAACATGATGTATAAGTCTGGTAATTATGTAGTGTGCAAAATTAAATGTAAAAGCTCTTGCATGAAAATGATTAACAATTTTGTATGTGCATCATTTGCAAAATTTAGTAGCAGTTCATATTATACACTTTTCAGTACTTCAAGATAAGGAAAAGGTAATTTCAGCGAAAGGAAGATAATCGCTATTACTGACAAATAGACATTTTGTTAACATCAACGATTTGAACCTATGGAACTAAAGACTATTTAAAATTATTAATCAACTTTCTAACGCAACTTTTTCATAACACTTTATGTGCATCAAGTGCAAAGTGTAATGTTATCGTATGGTATTTTACTTTCAAAAGATTAATTGTGGCAGTTTTGTAATATTAGTAAATTAAGAAGAAGTCTAGACAGCGAGAGATGAAGACCACAAGAACAAGAAATACTTTATTTAGGATCATAAATAGAAATTTGGAATGCTACGGATTTAAGCACCCTATCTTAATACTTTTTTTTTTTTGAAGAGTTATTTGAACATCAACTTCTGCTTGGAGTTGATGTTTAATTTCAATAAAATCAATCAGAAAGAAAAACATTTTTCCCATCCAATATCAAACCATCACCTATAAGATGTATCTTATTAAGTGGAGCAGTTTCTTCCTGTAATTCTAGCAGATGTATAAAGGTATGCATCAAAAAATCCTCTATTATTTTAATCAGATTACAGTTTTTACATAACACTATCCAAGTTTTCAGGAAATCATTCAACTTGATCTTAGTGGCTCGCAATTTTTATTTAATAATTGCTTGCTTCCAATGAAACAAGACTCTCGATTCACCATCGGTTGAGGATTACAATTTTTATTAAAGCCATCAATTTAATTTGTGTGTTGATAAAAGAATCAATAAGTTAGCAATGCTTTTGGGCTTAAGTGCACAAACATCAGTGCCTTGGTTTTTATTGGATAATATTAAATAAACTCTTAAATATTGCCTTATGTGTTAAGACAGAGTCGCTCTTATATTAAGAGATTTCATTAATTCCGTTCTATAGGGCTAGAATTAGTTCGTCAAATTCTTGCTTACTTTCTTCCTTTTCAGTATGAATTTCTCAGAATTATATTCTCTATGACAAAATGACTCCTAGTTGAGGAAATTTCATCAATCCTCAAGGAAAAACTGGAATACTGAATTACTCAACTATTTTATCCTTTTAAGTAAGTAATTTTTAGACTAAATTAAATTAAGTTTATATGTAGAATTTACTTAATAGAAAGATTATTATCATAGATTTGAATTAAACAGAAAAAATCTTGATGTACTTTTTTTAATGCTATCATCTCCTTTTAAAACT